AAGAACATTATAAGGGAATACTTTAAAAACCTATATGCTACTAAATTTGAAAACCTAAAAGAAATGGATGGGTATCTAAAGGCATGGGAACCACCAAAACTAAACTAAGAGATTAACAGCCTAAACAGACCCATAAAACAAAAAGAAATTGAAACAATAATGCAAAACCTCGTGACTAAAAAAAGCCCAGGACCAGATGAATTGACAGAAGAACTCTACTAGACATTTAAAGAGGATCTACATCCAATACTACTTAATTCATTCAAAAATATAGAAAGGGAGGGAGAACTTCCAAATTCCTTCTATGAAGCCAGCATCACTCTAATACCAAAGCCAGGTAAAGACACAACCAAAAAAGGAAACTGTAGACCCATATCCTTACTGAATATAGATGCAAAAATTCTCAACAAGATATTTGCAAAACGCATATAGACACACATCAAAAAGATCATCCACCATGATCAATTCGGCTATATACCAGAGATGCAGGGATGGTTCAATATACGTGTCTCCTGATTGGCTGATTCCTCCAATGGGTGGAGTGGGAACTAGGAAGGGAAGCTGGGAGCCATCTTGGGTTGGAAGCCAGGAGCTGGGGGTAGAGCATGATGATGTAGGAATGGTGTAGGATGGAGGTGCTGCCAGCACAGCAACTCAAAGACAGAATGAACTGACTCCCTGTGGACCTGGGGCGAGATCCCTGGCCCAGGGGCTATGGGTGTGGCATGGTGTGATAAGGCTGGCTCTGAGTCACAGCAGCATGAGGCTAGGCACTGGGTACTCATTCCTTTGTAAGTTAATAAACTCACATAAAATGTATTATCTGGTTTGTCTGATTAAGCAGGAGACCCAGAGAGAATTTGGGCCACAATACATAAGTCAATAAACGTCATAAATCAAAGAAATGGGCTCTAAGAACCACATGGTCATCGCAATAGATGCAGAGAAGGCCTTTGAAAAAATTCAAAATGCATTTATGTTCAAAGTCCTAGAGGGAACTGGACGGGAGGGAACATATATCAACATACTTAAAGCCATATATTACAAACCTATAGCCAACATCATTCTAAATGGAGAAAAACTAGAAGCATTCCCATTGAAATCAGGAACCAGACAAGGCTGTCCACTATCTCCACTTCTCTTTAACATAGTGCTTGAAACTCTTGCAAGAGCAATAAGACAAGAGCAGGAAATTAAAGGTGTAATAATTGGAAAAGAAGAGATCAAATTATCCCTTTTTGCAGATGATATTATATATCTAAGAGACGCCAAAAATTCCATGAGAAAACTCCTAGAAATTATTAACTCGTTCAGTAAAGTGGCAGATTACAAAATTAACCGACAAAAGACTGTAGCCTTTCTACATACCAATAACAAGCAATCAGAGAAAGAGCACATGGTAACACCCCCCTTCACAATAGTAGCCAAAAAAAGTAAAATATCTTGGAATAAACCTGACCAAAGACATTAAAGAGCTCTACAATGAAAATTTTAAATCTTTAAAGAGACTGAGAAAGACATTAGAAGATGGAAGGGCCTCCCATGCTCATGAATTAGAAGAATTAATATTGTGAAAATGAACCATCCTACCAAAAACCATTTATAGATTCAATGCAATGCAAATAAAAATCCCCATGAGATTTTTCACAGAATTGGAAAAAACCATCCTAAGATTCATATGGAAGCACAAAAGACCTCGGATAGCCAAAGCGAGCACTAAGAGCAATGCCAGGGGAATTACTATACCAGATTTTAAGCTGTATTACTG